GGGTACTTACACCTTTAGCAACCAATCCCCTGACAAATGTTCAAAACCTTACAACTTCACACTGATCATTTTTATGATTAACGTTTTTCCTGACAGGTAGCTAACAGTCATGCAGGAAGTTACAGGGAAAAGTAAAACATACAGTATGGCTGCCGGTCTGGACTTAAGACCTGGATGTCCATTGGCGAATACAGGGCAGACAATATTTCTCTCCTTTTCTCTCCCGTCCTTTTGTTACAGGCATGAATGGAGCGCGTTTGCCAGTCTGTCCAATACAGAGTGTCCCCAGACAATGTCAGTGCAAACGGATGAGTAAGACTACCTTCAACAACTTTTTGCCTAGATGGAAAAAAGAGCAAGGATTAAAAATGCATCACTTCCACTTATTCCCACACAGAAAAACATCCGGCTTTGCTAAAACTCACATAGGAATCGCCTTCTTTTAACAAATTCACTGGACCAAGAGATTTGCCTGGTGATGAAAGTGATAATCAGACTGAAAAAAGTAAAACAAGACTTTGCCCCTCTCCTAGCAATAAGGACACAAATACACTGCGTTTCATAGTGACACGGTATCCAGTTCAGCTCCACACTGACCTCTGAAAGGCCACACTGAAGTTTCTTCACAGGGCTGTGAAAATACCCAAACACAATCCCATTTTGGAGGAAACACAGGTCTGAAGAGTGCTCCTCCAATTAAAGCATTACTTTTTTTGCCCCCCCATGCAACATATGATATCTTTGCCTAGGAATTCAGTTGCACTCAGTCCTTTCTCGTGGCAGGAAAAGGAAGAAGTGGCCCAAAAGACTAAATTACCCCTCTTAACCTGGTCAGCAGCAGAAACAAATATATTTCAGTCTATAATTTTAAATGTAGAGCAAGGGTCAGTTATATTTTTTCTAAGAGCAAATATTTATAATTACTATAAATTAGAAACATTTCAGGTGTTTTTCAACGGACTCATTCAGCCACGCTTCTCTTCTCGGGATGCATATATTTTCACATCAGTCATTAGCTGAAATGAAAGGCACAAAACATAGAATCACAGACTGGTTTGGCTTGGAAGGGACCTTAAGGACCATCCAGTTCCAACCCCCCTGCCATGGGCAGGGACACCTCCCACCAGACCAGGTTGCTCCAAGCCCCATCCAGCCTGGCCTTGAGCACTCCTGGAGCACTGCCGGGAGGGGGCCAGCCACAGCTTCTCTGGGCAACCTGTGCCAGTGCCTCACCACCCTCACAGGCAAGAATTTCTTCCTAATATCTAATCTAAATCTCCCCTCTTTCAGTTTGAAACTGTTATCCCTAGTCCTGTCACCACACTCCCTGATCAAGAGTCCCTCCCCACCTTTCCTGTAGGTCCTCTTTACGCAGCAAAAGGAAGGCTGCTCTAAGGTCTTCCCGGAGCCTTCTCTTCTCCAGGCTGAACAACCCCAGTGCTCTCAACCTGTCCTCATAGCAGAGGTGCTCCAGACCCCTGATCATCTTTTTGGCCCTCCTCTGGATTTGCCCGAGACATGGGTCTTTCTTACGCTGGGGGCCCCAGAGCTGGGTGCAGCACTGCAGGTGGGGTATCACCAGATGCGGAGCAGAGGGGCAGAATCATCTCCCTCGACCTGCTGGCCACGCTGCTCTGGATGCAGCCCAGGATGCAGTTGGCTTTCCGGGCTGCGAGCGCACATTGCTGGCTCATGTCCAGCTTTTCATCCACCAGCACCCCGAGTCCTTCTCAGCAGGGCTGCTCTCAATCTCGTCATCGCCCAGCCTGTATCTGTGCTTGGGATTGCCCTGACCCAGGTGCAGGACCTTGCACTTGGCCTTGTTGAACTTCACGAGGTTTGCACGGGCCCACCTCTCCAGCCTGTCCAGCTCCCTCTGGATGCCATCCCTTCCCTCCAGCGTGTCGGCTGCACCCACAGCTTGGTGTCGTTGGCAGATTTACTGAGGGTGCACTCAAAACACATGACAGGTCCAACATGTTTTCTAAACTCACAGGATCCCCAAATTTATACATATTGCAATAAATATGTGCAATTTAGATTCAATAGTTTTAGAGACATTTACTAAGTCAGTGAAAACATACTTGACAATTCCTCAGTCAAAACAATATGAAGTCAGTTTTCACAAAATTCAGACATTTTATATATGTACAAAGACACAGACACACCTTCCAAACCAGTGTTCCGACACAGCAAACTAGTATTTAAAATTTTCCATCAGACAATTTTTGAGAAAGCTGAAGTCTCAGCCTCATCCTGAAGGAAAGTGAGGAATGTATTTTTCTTATATCTATATTAAAATCTGCATTTAAATTGTTTCCATTTAAGATATTAAAGGAAAAAACCCCAAAAAACGGCCAACACTTGGCAGAGAAAGGACTCTGTTTCATTTTGAGCAGCATAGATACCGTTTGCATTTTCCAAGGGGGGGGTGGGGGGGGGGGGGGGATACAAAAAGTACCCCAAAATTCTTCATCCATATTCAGACATGGATAAGTTTAAAACAGACTGACACATGCAAATGGGGTTTTGGATATATATGTACCAAGGAAGTGATATGGAAAAAAAGAAAACAAAATTATTCTTCTAGAGATAAAATTGAAACTGCTCTAAAATTTCTGTCCTTCAAATTGTCACTACTTCTCTCACCATAAAACACAATCGAATAAATAGAAATATTGATTTCATTTTCTCTTTCCAACCTCACCTTTGCTGTTGCTTCTTTACTAGTAACAGCAGTGGCAGGATTCTAGCAGTGTAGCAGCTGTCTTCCACTACATATTGCCCCTGTTTCCATCATTCTTAGATATCAAGTCTCCCCTTCTCCTGTAATTACATCCCTTGCAACAGTTCCAGCCGATGCACTTGTAAACTGAAATCTGCTAAGATGTAACAGGCAGACTGCTCCAGTAACATTAATCCACCATGCAGAATGCAAACTTCCTCTTTATCTGAATTCTGAAGTGATTCTGGGACAGGACAGGTAGAAGCATTTGATACACCTTAAGATTTCTTTATTGACAAGTCTGGGTGAAACATTTTGCTCTATGGTTAAGGAACAGGAGTAACCTCCAAAGTTATCATCTAGTTTGAACTATTACTGAAGTCCACCTTGATACCAGACCCTGAGTCCCACCTTCATAGACTTCTGGTTCAACATTGACCAGTGGAAAGGAAAAAAGAATAAATCAAAATTTCAGTTTAAAAGAGTTAAAATTCAGATCAATGTTCATGGTATTTTATTAATATGCATTACACTTTAAGAAGGCAGTTTTATCACATGGTAACAATCTAAAATATACACAGCTGAAGGACATCAAGCTACTATATTGGACAATGCCCAAAAGTCCATAAGCAGCCAGACACAAGGAATCGCCAGAATGTATCCTGCATAGGAATATCCTGATATCAAGTGCGAATTTACACTCTCCAGCAGTTGAGTAAGAGTGTACACCAGTAAGCTAATTTTTTTTTTTAATGCAAAATACATTCTTTTTTTTCCTAAAATACTGTTTCATTTATGGATCAATAGGAAACTGCTTGGGAGGTGGTGGACAGGCACTTATCTGTCACAAAGTAATTTGGACAGATTACTGGAATTAGTGTATTCAAAGGCTTACTTCCTTTCAGGTGGCCCTTCTCTACCTTAAAATCAGCAAAATAAATTTTACTTACCAATTACGTCTTTCAGTTTTTACACACATGCAAGTGAAGTTTATACAATTTGTACATGCATGATAACTTCAGAATCAGCCTTGAACTCACCCTCTGCCCCGTGCCCCCAAATGACAGAAATATATTAATACTGTATTGTATGAAAATCTCCCAGATTTTGAATTTTGAGACATTTTCTTTCTGTCTAGGAACCTGCACGTAGCCTTTGAGCTACCACTCCCTTCCATAAAGACCTTTTCCCTTGTCTGTACTTCTGACTGTGAGTCAGCACTTGTCACTTACTACAAAGCCACCATTATCTAGCTTTTACACAGTGCTCTCAAAGGAACTTAAGAGTGTTTTATAAAGGGTGTCAATATTGTTATTCCTCTTTAATGAGCGTGAAAATCAGGCACAGAATGCACCTCAGTAAAAGAACTGAAAAGCACCACGGAAAATGCAGTGGTTTTTGGGGGGAGGCATATCATTCTATTACACAGATACGCGTAAAATAAAACGACTCCAACTTTTTACCAAAGTAAAATGATTTCATAAAAGAGACATTTAAAATGTTATGAAATCATGAAAATGAAAATGTCATTTTAAGCTATCTGAAGACCAAAGCCAGACCAGAATGCAGAGACTTGCCTCCTCAGCGGGACATTTCGCCGGCAGATGACACTCACCCTTCCAGACCAACACAACCCACCCACTGAACACTGCATAGAATGGGAGGTGCAACCTCAAACACGTAGGTCTGGCCTGTCTGAAAGGTCACCTCTCTGTGTCTACAAAAGCCAAAACTCAACAGCACACTTGGACAGGAGCCACCAACCAAAGCTTCCATACTGTGCTTTCTATCGGGCTTCAGGAAAATCTGCTTCCTGCTCGCTCGCAGTCTGAAATAAGCTGAATTTGGTTAATTGATAGGCATGCAACAAAGGATATCTTTGGATGGCGTCAAGTACAAGTGTGTCTCAATATATTTCCTGTTGAAAAAAAAAATACAGTAACAGTACTGTAAAATCCCAGTCACTAGTTAAATGTTGAATTGCCTCGGGCCAAGCATAAGTGTGTCCAACTATTTGCAAGACAAATATGAGCCTAAAAACGAAAAATCTTGCTGTACAAGAAGGCTATACTAATACACATTGTGTTACTTTTAAAACCAGTTTTATAGAATGTAAGGCTATTTTACCTTTCACAAGGCTATTAACAATTGCATTTAAAATGAACAATAAGGTATTGACATTATTCTAGATTACTGGGAAAAAATGCCTTAGTTCAAAATGAATGCAGGAGGTAAGAAATAACTTACACTGTATTATTGACTAAGGGAAACTTACCTAAAGGAACCATCCAGATTTGCCCTATGAATGAAACTCAGTTTTGCATCAGCCCAGTAAAGTTTCTGCTCATCGAGATCTATCGTGAGTCCATTTGGCCAATAAATATCTGAATCGACAATTATTTTTCGCGTGCTGCTGTCCATTCCTGCCCGTTCTATTCTGGGTGTTTCCCCCCAGTCGGTCCAATACATGTACCTGAAAAAGCAAGTAGAGATGCACACAAATGAAATCACAACGCACACTAGGTAGCTTTAGGAACAGAAGGGGTAGCAGCTCTTTCCAAGGCCCCTAAGTGTACATACGGAGTGGTGTATGTACACAAATGTATATCCCCAAGACTTTAACATTAATGTAAATCAAACCACAGTTCCAGAAGGTGCAAAAAAAAAGTCCTTCATGAGAGCATCTCTCGGCAGCATTGCCTCTGCATATCTTTCAATGTTGGAAGCACCTGTCTGTCATAACTGACTATCATCCTTGCATGGCCAGTTACTACAAGTGTATAACCTAAATCACATTCTGAAGCAAATAATTACCTATCCAAGCAGGCAACAACCACAGCTGAACTTCCTTTTGCAAGTGTGTACACAGAAAAGAACAAAATCAAGTGCCCTGAAACTTGTTTCTGTCTATAAACTAATCATGAATCTGTGCAGACTTAGACTGACACTAGATTAAATTTTTGGGTGCTTTTTCCCCGTCCCATCCATGTCCCAGTTTCCCTGTCACTCCACCCACAGGCAATTTAAGTAGCCTGAATAGAGACATTCACAGCACTTCTCAATCAGAAAGGACCACTTCAAAGTGTGGCAAATTGCACAACGTCTGCATGAAGAGTGGAGACCGTACAGTCAGGGGAGAAATTGCCTGATTAGAAGAGGACAGTCAGTTCTCAAGTGGTAAACACCACCCAGCGTAATATATCCAGGTTGTAAATTCGGCATGGCATGGGTGCAAACACAACAGAGCCGACCTCTCGCATGGCTGCCTCAGGCCAGGCAGAGAAACGATTTTGCTTTCCCAACGCCAATACAGCCATTTCTGGCATGGTTTGTGTCAGGAAGTCTTTGACCTGAGTGAGGCATAAAACTAGGGGTCCGGGCACTGGACTCTCCACCACCCCAGGTTCATCACGCTATGTTAGATCAACAGCAGTGCTGGGTGGGCACCAGCTGGGTAAGTGCACTGAGCTACATCTAAAGCCTGCTACCACCAGAGCTCCAGCAAAGCAGGGTAAAGAGGCATCTATTCAGTCCTGTAGAGCCCATGCTTAGCCAGACATAATAACCTGGATTACCCCAGACCCTCAAATCCCCTGAAGAAGACAGCACTGGCTATGCAACCACACTAGGAACCACAAAGGAAGTAAAAGAACGTGCATGGTGAACACACATGGACGAAAAACGCTTCATGGTTTCTCTTATGAAAGAGATTGCCATCCACTTTGGGAACAAAGAGGGGACGACATTTGTAATTCATGTCACGTTCCTCAGCAGGATGTTCTCCCCTTCTCAACAAAAGATGCTCCTGTAAACTGCAGTAGTTCTGTAGCTGCTTCACATGCAGCTGGGGCCATCATGTCAGCCAAGAAGGAACAGGCAGCTCTACAGTCATCCCCAGCACGTCCCTCACAACTCACTTAGGTTTAAAATGCTCTGATATCCATGTACACACTGCACTCCAGTTCAGCCGTACCTCCAATTCCAGCTCAGTCACAGCACCTATTTAGACCATTCTGACCATAGCAGCATATATAATCAGTAGCATGTTTATCCCACTGAAGAGAGGAATATAGATAAAACATAGACAGACAGACAGACAGACAGAAATTACTCCCTTGTATCATAGTATTCATAACTTGAGTGAGGAACCAGGAGTTTTCCAGTTGAGATGGTAAAGCTTCCACACAGATGAGGCCTCAGGCTTCTGAGACAGCTCATCTTAGAATGGCTGCAGCGGACTCATGTCCCCAGATGCCATCTTGAAAACATCTCTGCTCCAGCAGCCAGGATGGACTGACTGCTCCTGAAGAAGCAGCAGCAGTAGCTGAGCTGCCCTAGTTCACACGACAGCCTACGAATGTAAATTGCCACTCATTTTGGTTTTCCTTAACAAGTCAGGCTGTAATTTGTGGCAGCTCAGACTGCGCGGGGAAGCAGCTATTGACAAACAACGGAAGTCAGAGAAAAGCAGACATCAAAGAAACTGTCTGTGCAATCAGCTGGTGAATCAGACTGTGAAGCTGATCCGGCAAAATACTTGTTTTCAGTCAGGTCAAATCAGTTCTCTAATCCAGCTCACCTGCACTAGCTTGAAGTATTCAAAGGACACCTTGAGCCACTTCTACAGGAATGAAGATAGATAAAAGATGGACTGAATTAAGAAATACCTGGCTATTAAAGGTGACTTTGGGCTATATCACATGGCTATGACCGTCCCACACTTACTCGCATATTGAAAAGTATAAATGCAGACTAAAAAGGAGCTTAGTCCAAAATCGAAAATCTCATTACAGTTATTTAAAAGCAAAATCAAAGGAGACAAAACTAGCTAAGTCCAATTAAACCTTAAAAGCAGGTTAAAAAAAAAGGACAAAAAAATCCCCAAAAATTACCCTTGAGCAAAATTTCTCTCCTCAAGCCTCCTATTAAAATTGCAGCCTGCCCTGAAGCTCAATACATTCAGATAAAGGGAAAAAAAGTCTGGAAGCCGAAGGGCCCTCATGGCTTTTCTATGATATTAAAGGAACTCAAGCTCAAGAGCCTCTCCCTGCAAAATCCCTGTTGTCTATTTTCATAGGTGACAGGTGTTTATCCTTGGCCACACAGAGACTGCTGGACAAAAGGAGTACTTTCAACTTCACACATTCATATGCCACAGGAAAATGACAGCCCTACATTTTTAGCTTGTTAATAGGTACCAAGCTCAATCCTCATCAATGCCTGCGTCACTCAAAGAAAGGTCTAAAACTACACAGTATTAGCCAAATAACCACACCGCAAGGGAAGGCTAGCAGGATGAAGATGCATTTAGACACCACATAGAACAATCTGAATGCAGGCAGCATTCTTTCAAAGGCACTTCTCTCCCAGTTGGACTTTTTTAACGCAACACGTAAAAGTTTATTATTACCCTGTCACCACCTCATCCTGATTGTAGGGTGTCTCTGCAATCCCTGAAGTATCATAAAGCTGATCTTCCTGGTGAACTTTTCAGAACATATTGAGTCCCTGCAGTAATCAAGCACTTCCTGAAGTAATGGTTTCGTTCCGGCCACGTGCTACAAAGCATCCCCGTGGTCCATCACAGGAAACCATGCCAAGCAATGGAATGGCAAAAGCAATTCTTGCCTCCATTTAACCTTCTCCCTTGGCCAACAGGTTTCCACCATTTTGGCAGGCAGCAGCTGTTATATGAAATTATAGGAAACCAGCTCTGGTCTGGGGATCTCTTAACACTTTAAGACCCTAAACTGGGAGTTTGGATATCACTGGGAGAAGAGATCAATTGTTCCTGCAGCAGGAGCGTGAGGCTCTGGTCTACGTACACCTAATTAAAACCGTGCTGCTGCCAAACGGAGTGGTTCCTCCTTCCCTGTTTCCTACCCCTGCTGCTGACATTAGCACCCTATAAGAAAAGAAAAAAAAAAAACCCAAACAACAAACAAACCCACTTTCAGTTACCTTAGCAAATGATCAGTCTGACCAACGGCCCCACAGCAGTAGTGCTTAAACAGAAGGAACAAATAAAGGCAGCAGCCCCACGGCAGCAACTCCTACGAAACCTCCCCAGGGAAAGAAGCATTACGCTCCAACTGCCCCCAGGTAAGTCACTCACAAATTAGGGCCTTGGACTCTACCACTAGTTAGGGCATTCTTCTTCATCCCTCTTTTCCCACTGCAACGCCTAGGCTGTTTTGACATTTTTTGGTCAACACAAGACACAACACAGCACTGGACATCACTCCGCTAGGCCACAAAATGCCATGGTTTAAATGCAGGCCTGTGTGGGATGGTCAAGAATGCACAAAGTGTCAGGCTTCCCCTTTTTTTATCCACCCCACTTTGAGTGACAAAGCTAGTTCAAACTGAATTAAGCACAGTGTCCTGGCTGAGACACCCTACATTGAGATTTGGCCAAAGACAGAAAATTTTGGGGCAAGTTATAAATCCTAGAGAAAAAAAAAAGCCATGGTCATTATGGAAAGAATGACACAAGCTCAGCTAAAGCAGCACTGCAAACTTAACTGGAACAGTTACACTACAAGATAAAAATTTGGGGGCAGAGTGGAGCTTTGTTGTTGTGACTCATTATCAAGAGAAAGCCAAAGGCTTCATATCCACCCTTGAAATAACTCATGTATCTGTTTAAGAAAATGAGTCTTCTGAAATCTGCTTGCATTAGCCAGGTTCACCAGAGAAAGAGCCACACAGGAAAAACAGTGGAGAAATTAAGTATTTTAGTAATGTCCAGTAGTAGCCATTACATCTTACACTTTGTATTGTCCAATGCCTCCACTGCACAGGATCAATTCTTACACAAACAGCAAATATTTTTGGTTGGGGCTTTATGGCGGGGAGGGGGAGAACATGGAAAAAAAATCGAAGTGGCTTCTCAGAGAAAAAAATCAGTCTGCACACCGTAACAGTTTGTGTGTGACGAAGTGATTTAAATCAAGGTGATTTGAATCTTAACTACTAGAGTTTAAACCTGTTAAGATTACATACTTCAGGAGCCTGGAGTGGTAATGGCACATTATTTCTGCAGGTGGGGGAAAAAAAAAAAGGCCTTTTCTTATTTAAAACATGCGCAATAGTCCACATTTCTTATTGACCCCAACAAAAACCAAGCACTTCAAAACTGTCTCGACATCACCAATGTTTCTGGGACAGATGATGGTTCAGGACTGATTTTTTTGTTTTTCAAATATAACCTTTTTTTGCTGGTGTCCAGCACCTTAACAATCCCTATCGTTTTAATTTCACTATTAAAAATTTGAATATTTAGCCCAAATAAGGTTTCAGGAGAATTCAGTAGACTATGCAAAGAATCTCAGTCCAGTAATACCTGAGCCATTAAACATTCCATGTTTTGGAAGCCTATTGAAAAGATATACACTGAATGATAATGAAGAGCCTAATGCACATATTTGGGTAGTTTTTATTTGGTTGATTCTGGTGGTGGTGTTTTTAAAT